TATTGTAGCTAACGCTGCACCCTCTTTGGATATCTCCAGGACGCCGCTGGCGGACAGTCACATTTCCGCTACTGTATTGTAGCTAACGCTGCACCCTCGTTGGATATCTCCAGGACGCCGCCGGCCAACAGTGACATTCCGGTTGCTGTCTTGTAGCTTGCGCTGCGCCTGCGTCAAGGTTGAATATCTCCAGGACGCGGCTGACGAACGAGAACACTCTCGCTGCTGTCTTTTCGACTGCGCTGCGTCCACGTTGCTTATCTCCAGGACACGGCCAATGGACACACACAGTCCCACTGCTGTCTTTTATTTTGCGCTGCATCCTCGCTCGTTATCTCCAGGACGCAGTCGACGAACACTCACAGACCTGCTGCTGTCTTGTAGCTTGCGCTGCGTCCACGCTGGATATCGTCAGGACGCAGCCGATGAACAGTCACAGCCCCACTGCTGTCTTTTATTCTGCGCTACATCTTCATTCGTTATCTCTAGGACGCAGTCGACGAACGCTCATAGTTCTGCTGCTGTCTTGTAGCTTGCGCTGCGTCCACGCTGGATATCTCCAGGACGCAGCCGATGAACAGTCACAGTCCCGCTGCTCTCTCGTAGCTTGCGCAGCGTCTACGCTTGATATCTCCAGGAGGCGGCCGAGGAACACTCACAGTCCCGCTGTTGTCTTGAAGCGTGCGTTGCGTCCACGTTGGATATCACCAAGACGCGGTCGACGAACACTCACAGTCCTGCTGCTTTCTTGTAGCTTACGCTGCGTCCACGTTGGATATTTCCAGGACGCGGTCGATAATCACTAACAGTCCCGCCACTGTCTTGTAGCTTGCGTTGCGTCCACGTTGGATATCTCCAGGATGCGGCCGACGAACACTCACAGTCCCGCCACTGTCTTGTAGCTTGAGTTGCGTCCACGTTGGATGTTTCGAGGACGCGGTCGACGAACACTCACAATCCCATTGCTTTCTTGTAGCTTACGCTGCGTCCACGTTGGATATTTCCAGGACGCGGTCGATGAGCACTAACGGTCCCGCTGCTATCTTGTCCCTTGCGCTGCGTCCGCGTTGGTTTTCTCCTGGACGCGGCCGAGGAACACTCACAGTCCCGCTGCTTTCTTGTAGCTTACGCTGCGGCCACGTTTGATATTTCCAGGATCGGTCGATGAGCACTAACGGTCCCGTTGCTATCTTGGCTCTTGCGCTGCGTCTGCGCTGGTTTCCTCCAAGACGCGGCCGAGGAACACTCACAGTCCCGCCACTGCCTTGTAGCTTGCGCTGTGTCCACGCTGGATATCTCCAGGACGCCGTCGACGAACAATCACAATCCCGCTACTTTCCTGTAGCTTACGCTGCGTCCACGTTTGATATTTCCAGTACCCGGAAGATGAGCTCTAACAGTCCCGCTGCTATCTTGTCTCTTGCGCTGCGTGTGCGTTGGTTTTCTCCAGGACGCGGCCGAGGAACACTCACAGTCCCGCTGCTTTCTTGTAGCTTACGCTGCGTCCACGTTGGATATTTCCAGGACGCGATCGGTGAGCACTAACAGTCCCGCTGCTATCTTGTCTCTTGCGCTGCGTCTGCGTTGGTTTTCTCCAGGACGCGGCCGAGGAACACTCATAGTCCCGCTGCTTTCTTGTAGCTTACGCTGCGTCCGCGTTGGATATTTCCAGGACGCGGTCGATGAGCACTAACAGTCCCGCTGCTATCTTGTCTCCTGCGCTGCGTCTGCGTTGGTTTTTTCCAGGACGCGGCCGAGGAACACTCACAGTCCCGCCACTGTCTTTTAGCTTGCGATGCGTCCACGATGGGTATCTCCAGAACGCGGTCGACGAACACTAACAGTCCCGCTGGTATCTTGTCTCTTGCGCTGCGTCTGCGTTGGTTTTCTCCAGGACGCGGCCGAGGAACACTCACAGTCCCGCTGCTTTCTTGTAGCTTACGCTGCGTCCACGTTGGATATTTCCAGGACGCGGTCGATGAGCACAAACAGTCCCGCTGCTATCTTGTCTCTTGCGCAGCGTCTGCGTTGGTTTTCTCCAGGACGCGGCCGAGGAACACTCACAGTCCCGCTGCTTTCTTGTAGCTTACGCTGCGTCCACGTTGGATATTTCCAGGACGCGGTCGATGAGCACTAACGGTCCCGCTGCTATCTTGTCTCTTGTGCTGCGTCTGTGTTGGTTTTTTCCAGGACGCGGCCGAGGAACACTCACAGTCCTGCCACTGTCTTGTAGCTTGCGCTGCGTCCACGATGGATATCTCTAGTATGCGGTCGACGAACACTCACAATCCCGCTGCTTTCTTGTAGCTTACGCTGCGGCCACATTTGATATTTCCAGTACGCGGTCGATGAGCACTAACAGTCCCGCTGTTATCTCGTCTCTTGCGCTGCGTCTGCGTTGGTTTTCTCCAGGACGCGGCAGAGGAAGACTCACAGTCCCGCCACTGTCTTGTAGCTTGCGGTGCGTCCACGCTGGATATCTCCAGGACTCAGCCGATGAACAGTCACAGTCACGCTGCTCTCTCGTAGCTTGCGCTGCGTCTACGCTAAATATCTCCAGGACGCGGCCGATGAACAGTCACAGTCCCGCTTCCGTCTTGAAGCGTGCGTTGCGTCCACGTTGGATATCTCCAGGACGCGGTTGACGAACACTCACAATCCCACTGCTTTCTTGTAGCTTACGGTGCGTCCACGTTGGATATTTCCAGGACGCGGTCGATGAGCACTAACAGTCCCGCTGCTATCTTGTCTCTTGCGCTGCGTCTGCGTTGAGTTTCTCCAGGACGCGGCCGAATAACACTGACAGTCCCGCCACTGTCTTGTAGCTTGCGCTGCGTCCACGCTGAATATCTCCAGGACGCGGTCGGCGAACACTCACAATCCCGCTGCTTTCTTGTAGCTCACGCTGTGTCCACGTTGGATATTTCCACGACGCGATCGATGAGCGCTAACAGTCCCGCTGCTATCTTGTTTCTTGCGCTGCGTCTGCGTTGGGTTTCTCCAGGACGCGGCCGAGGAACACTCACTGTCCCGCCACTGTCTTGTAGCTTGCGCTGCGTCCGCGCTGGATATCTCCAGGACGCAGCCGATGAACAGGCACAGTCCCGCTGCTCTCTCGTAGGTTGCGCTGCGTCTACGCTGGATATCTCCAGGACGCGGCCGATGAACAGTCACAGCCTCGCTGCCGTCTTGAAGCGTGCGTTGCGTCCACGTTGGATATCTCCAGGACGCGGTTGGCGAACACTCACAATCCCACTGCTTTCTTGTAGCTTGCGCTGCGTCCACGTTGGATATGTCTTCAGGACGCAGTCGACGAACACTCACAGTCCCGCTGCTGTCCTTGTGCTGCGTCCACGTTGGATATATACCCAGGACGCGGCCGAAAACAGTCACAGCCCCGCTGCTGTCTCGTAGTTTGCGCTATGTCCACACTGGATATCTGCTGGGCGCAGCCAACGAACAGTCACAGCCCCGCTGCTGTCTTGTAGTTTGCGCTACGTCCACATTGGATATCTGCAGGGCTCAGCCAACGAACAGTCACAGTCCCCACTGCTGTCTCGTAGTTCGCGCTACGTCCCCATTGGATATCTACAGGGCGCAGCCGACGAACAGTCACAGTCCCCGCTGCTGTCTCGTAGTTCGCGCTACGTCCACATTGGATATCTACAGGGCGCAGCCAACGAATAGTCAGAGTCCCCGCTGCTGTCTCGTAGTTTGCGCTACGTCCACATTAGATATCTGCAGGGCGCAGCCAGCGAACAGTCACAGCCCCGCTGCTCTCTTGTAGCCCGCGCTGAGTTCACGTTATCTTCCGGACGTGCCCCTATCGACCCGTTAAATTTGGAGAGAAAAGTTTCACGCCAAATTGAGCAGAAAATTTACCGTCAAATATAGCGTTTCGGTAGTGTCATGACGTCAAAACTACGTCTGACGCCACGAACCACGTGACATAACGTCACACGTTACGTCATGTGACGTCACGTGACACGTGACGCTACTGACTAGACCACGCGCACACACTTGCACGTCTTGGGAACGAGCGCGGGTTTAGATGACAAGGCTTTGCGAACGGGGCCCGATAACGCTATCGCGTTTCACTCTGAAAGGCGAAGCTTAAGCTTCCCCTAAGTATTCATGTGCGTGTTGTCTTTAATAATTTGTGTTCCGAAATTCTGCAGGTTAACTCACTGAGACAGCTGAAGGCAACGATAGGATTTTATCTTTTAAACGGATATGTACCTAAGGATGTTTATATCTAGTACGTGTCAACTATGTATTATAATTGTCATCTTGCATTTTTGGGCTTTCCGAACTGTTTCAACCTCGCTTTTGCGAACTTCTTTTTGTTTGTGCAGCAGTTACGGCTTTAGTTCCCGGACATTCTTCCACATTTGTCCTCAAAACTGCCTCTTTTAAACTTCAAGAATCCATTTGAACGATCGACGTTTATTGCTTATAAAGATTCTTGAGAAATATTGGTACTTCCCTCAACTGTGGAAATGTTCGACGACTTAGCATTTTTTTTGTGTCGGTTGATAATCAGCGGAGTTGTGTAGTTGTATGAGTCCCCGATATCTGATCCAAATATTTAAATTGAGCGCCAATAAACATTTCTGTCTGCTGTCCCGTGCATATGTTCAAGAAACTAGGCACCCTACCAGTAACTACACGAAGGAATGCCCTAGTGCAGGGTGATATCAGGTGGCCTGCCAATTGGCAATATTACTTGGTGACATGGCAGTCTGGACGAGTTAGTCATTTTTTGTGAGAAATTGGTTATCGATTTCCGGTGAAGAATTAGAATTAGATATAGCCGAGTTCGGCATCCAGTGTTTCTCTGTTGTGTACTTCACTATTGTCTCCTCGTCTTTCTGCGCCTTTGCTTCGAATCATATATCGCAACTACAAGAGGGAAGGCCTCACGAGAGTCTAACGGTTCTGTGTGAATCACTTGATCGTTGAATCCTATTCGTGAAGTGTGATATCATCTTGTGCTGCAGGACTTACTGGCTACTTCGTCTACGGAACCCAGCACAGCAAGCTCAACAAGCTCCCAGAGTCAAACGGTCGCCAGGCGCTGGAGAGTCCCTCCAACGGCAAGCAGCAGAACAGCCGCCTTTGAAGAGTGGCCTGACGGCATGACGCCTTCGACGGGGGCTGTGCTCTTGTGTGCATCTGTACATAGTGCCTCGCTCTGGGCGGCAAGCGGACATGCCGTCGGAGCCATCTGGTAGACCCTCCGGGAACTAAGCTTCTGACCGTCGTCGTCCGTTTCGAACAACGAGTTTCCGGCAGCGTGTTGTGCTCGACAACACAGCAAGAGCCTCTCTTGGACTTGCGCATTTGTTGCTTACAATGCGCACGGAATTGATGTGCTTACGTCCTTGTGACGCGCATACCACTAGGACGGATATGATGTGCTATCAGTGCAATGGAAAACGCTTTTTCGAATTTGTGTTGGCAAAGATTTCAGAGACATGAGGGAGTACATTCGTACCTGAGCGCGGTTTCATGTCAACCTACTTTTATGTACCTTTTTTTTTTTTTAATTTGGCTCGTAGAATCGTTGCTTATCAAATAATACCCTTTAATGTTTTTTCTTAAAATTAATATATGATGCTGTTATTACGACGTACCGTGTACGAGCGTAACATTTATGACTGTTATACGTTTGCATGTTTGATTTCTTTTATATTCCACTTGTATACGGACATCTGGACAGATGTGAAACAGTGCCATCACCGTATTTACTCTTTTATACTAGTTTTACCTGTTCGCCATTTTACGCGCGTAGATAAAGAGAACAAAAAGAGAGCGACCAATTAGAAATTCCTGATATAATCTCATGTCAGAGAGTTGCGGAAGCTATTTTTAGAAGCGACTTTAATCTCAACAATCAGCACAGTTGGTTATAAAACCGACCCTCACTTTGCTTTCAGCGTTATTTATAAACCATGGACCGATATAGATATGTATATAAGCGCCAAACAAGCCACTCATAAAAGCGCACATGTGTATATGTATATGTACATATTCGGTGCTACATAGCGATAACCTTGGGACTAAGTGTTGCCTTCACTGGATCTTCTCTTTGACATCGGCTTGAAAGGGCTCACCTCTTACCCGCGTCCGACAGCGGTAGCGTTAATTGCTTGTCTTTTGTTTGGCCACTACATTATATCTTTGAAAACAAGAAAGAGCACAGGATGCGATTTGCAAAGACTTCTTTTGACCTGATCGCGCCGCAAATTGGCCACATCTCTACGCTCGATCTCTATTAAATGACTTCTTTCCTGAAATGCTTCGTAGTCGTTTTGTAATTTTTCTTCTAGGCTTATTTGAGCCATTGCTGTTTTTTTTTTTCTTCTTTTCACTGAGCAGTATGCTGGGTGTCGTGCTCGCTACTATTAACATAAGGTGAGATTTACAACCGCTCAATACTTTGCCCTCCATGAATTCCGGAGTATAAAATTTGATTTTCATACCGCTTTCCCTAATCGCAGGCACGAACTCGACGTTTTTGATGCAGTCAGACATCTCAGAGGATCATTTTGTGCGCGTGGTACTTCTGTTAATATTATCAGCCAATGCACGTATGGTGGCATTACCTATATTAACAGTTTTGTACTCATGCCGACTAAACAAGGGCCCAGTGACGCTAGATTGTGTGATTTTCAAATTTCTACATTACTGTTTTTTTCTGAAATAACTTGAGGTCGCACCATAAGCGAGGCATGCACATTTGTGAGACCATAATGGCTTCAAAGTTTTATTCCTAAGGAGGGAAGACCCAGATCACCGCTGCACCTTAATTACTATCATGCCTAGCTGACAGCGATCAAATACTATAAATAAAAAATATTTTTAAGAGGCCTTGCTTTAGGTTGTCTTTTAGTCCTCCGACAAATTTTAGGACCGGGTGGGTAGCTCTGCGCAAATTGTTAGAAGTCAAAATCGTCTTTAGCTTAGTTTTTTCATTTTAACTTCTTGGGACCTAATGCCATTGGATAACTGACGCTAGGCCTCATTCTATTCTAACCGCGGCGTGGAAGTTTGACGAAAAAATTCTAGTGTGCATTACAAAGAAATGCATCCTCATAGACTGCTTCAAACCGAAGCTAAGCCGTCGAAGGTTGACTGTGTCGTGTCAATTGCCTCCCTCTTCGCCGGCTCCGTAACACTCGTGTACGCGCTGGAGTAAACGAGAGCAGAACGACTCAAGCGTGGAGTTAAGGGATCGACGTCATCGATGCTCTTTGATGGCTCAGTTTTTGTTTGAAGCCGTGTACGAGGATAATATTTATCCTTCCCATAGCGCCATAAGCCAGTTTAATTGCGATATTACATTTCATAAATTCTAGATGTTTCGGTTATGGTGCTTTTCATCTGAGAACAAAGACCTTCGTCATCGAGAAGAGTTTCTTTAAGCTTCCAAAAGGCTCCTACAAAACTACGTTTTCTTTTGACTGTCCACCCTTCCTAACCGCACTGTAACCATTGCCTAGTCAGAGAAGGCAACAGGGGACATATTCTGGATAGTTACCGAACTGGCAAGCTCGCTGGACATGTAAATGCGGGCCGCCTCGGTGGCTCTGGAATAAAAAAAACAACAAAACAAACAACCTTGATGGCTTTGAGCTAAAGCGCCGGCCTACGGATCCCCAGGTGGTGGGTTCAAATCCCCACCTAGGTGGCCGCACTCTAACGGAGGCTTATTGCGGAGAAGGCGCCGTGTAGCCGAGCTTTCGGTTGCACGCCAAAAGATCCCCAGGGGGTCGAAATTAATCCTGTGTCCTTCGCTGGGGTGTGCCAGATGCCCGTCATTGGTTTGGCACGTAAAAAACACTAAATTTGATTGTAAATGCGCTCTAGACATGCATGACAGCTCCCTTGCCAATCCGTGTATCCAGGAAAGGGTAATTTAAATGCGTCCGTTGCATCCTCTAGGTTAAAATCCCGCAAGAAGTTTCTGAACTCCGACAGGCTGGAGTTAGACTGTGGAGTGCCGGAGCATTGTTGCGCATTGAACACACAGTTAAAATTCCCTTCCGTGATCTTGGATATATGCATGTCAAGGTACAGCCTCAAATTAAAGAGAAAAGCTTTGCGGTTGGCTGCATCGTTGGGGCGTGTTCTGAAACTTTTGAGTGACTCATGGTTTCCAATGACCTCCACCAACAAACCCCTATCAGGCTTCCATTCTGGGTGTACGAAAAATCATGTCCTTTCTTATCAAAACTGTGCCCTGTAGTGGTTGCATGATAACGTAGTAAGGAAAGCGCAGTCGCTCGAAAAAACTTTAGGTCATTCACATGCGCTTAGTCTCTTGAAGGCATGCTATGTCAAAGTTTTTTCTAAAAAAAAAAAAAAAATGTGGAAGCCAATTTACTTGTTCTAGAAATTAAACGAACAAATCTGAGCATAGAAATTTTAATAATCCTTATAATGAAGAGAGAACTAAAAAAAAAGTGAAAGCAGTTTACAACTCCCAGTAACGCCGAATTGGAGCGCAGCTCTTGAGGAGGAGGAGGGAAGGGTACTGAGGGCCACGTGTTCTCGGGGGGGGGGGGGGGTCACGTGACAGGGGAAAGGGTCACGTCAAACCCCCCCGAGGGCACGTGGCCTTCGTGGGGTCACGTGACCTCGGGGGAGGGGGGGTTGACGTGGGGGGGAGTCACCACGACACCCTCAGGTCACGTGACCTCGGGAGGGAGTCACGTGACCTCGGGAGGGGGTCACGTGACCTGGGGGTGTCACGTGACCTCGGGGAAAGGTCACGTGACCAAAATTTCTCCGCTAGATTGAGCCGCTAGATTTAGCGGGTAAATTTTTCCGCTAGATTTAGCGGGGAAATTTTTCCGCTAAATTTAGCGGGCAAATTTTTCCGCTAGATTTGGGGGGAATTTTTCCGCTAGATTTAGTGGGCAATTTTTCGGCTAGATCTAGCGTGGAAATTTTTCCGTTAGATTTACCGGGGATATTTTTCCGCTAGATTTGGCGGGGAAATTTTTCCGCTAGATCTAGCGGGGAAATTTTTCCGCTAGATTTAGCGGGGAAATTTACCCATAATGGCACCGCGCGGTTACGCCGACGGCGACGCCGCACAAGCCGGAAACGGTCGCCTAAGAGCTGCGCTCTAAAAACGGATTACCATACCACAAAAGTTTTGGCATCTCTTGACCTGACCAGGGGGGGGGGGGCGGGGGAGGTCCAGCCACTTACGGTAGGTCTTGTCGCCGCCGATCGTCTGGTGGTATGCTAGGCATGCGGTAGAAGCGAACTTTTTTAGGCAGCCTCTCTTCCACTTATGTTCGGTTTTGCGTGACCTGTCCTGCAAGTTCATGGGAGAAACGGATTCAGAGGGTCGCCTGCCTGGGAAATCGTCGGCAATGCACAAGTCGTCGGTGTCACTCTCAGCTGCCCCTTGCGAGTCCTTGCATGACGGAAGCACAACAGGGCTTCGATCCGGCTGTTCAGGCGCCTCGGCAGCACATCCGGCTGGGACAGTTTGAGCCTCCGCCTCTGAAAGGTGTGGGAGGACCTCGGACTCGACGTTGGACTCGAGGGGTGTAGTCGCAGGATTTGCAAGCTCTTCCGCAGTGGGCGTTGGTCAGTGGAACGCAGTGGAACGTTGTAGTCCAAGAATGGCAAACAACGTTCCACCCTTCGACGCCACCCCTGATAAGTGGGTCTCGTGAAGAAGCTGGAGTACAGCTTTACGCACAGCCATAAGGCTATAGGGTGATTTTAAGCTCGCCGTAAACAAGGCGTGTCCGACGGAGGATTACCCTCTGCCATACATCGAGGACATTTTAGAGCGCAGCTCTTAGGCGCCCGTTTCCGGCTTGAGCGGCGTCGGCGTCGCCGTCGCCATCGGCGTAACCAAGGTCACCCCAAGGTCACGTGACCCCCGAGGTCACGTGACCCCCTAAGGTCACGTGACCGCCCTAAGGTCCCATGACCCCCCAGGTCACGTGACCCCCAAGGTCACGTGAACCCCAAGGTCACTTGACCCCTCCCAAGGTCACGTGATCACCCCAGATCACATGACCCCTCAGCTCACGTGATCCTTCCCAAGGTCACGTGACGCCCCCCCCCCCCCCCGAGATCACGTGGCCCCCTCCCCGAGGTCACATGACCCCCCTTCCCCCCCGAAGTCATGCGACCCCCCTCTCCCCGAGGTCACGTGACCCCCCTCTCCCCGAGGTCAGGTGACCCCCCCCGCGGAGCATATTAAAGAATAAGGGGAGGAGGACAAGGAGGGGTCTACCCTCCCCTCAGTACCCTTCCCTCCTCCTCCTCAAGAGCTGTGCTCCAATTCGGCGTTACAGGGAGTTGTAAACGGCTTTCACTTTTTTGCTTTGCTGAATGGTGGTGACTACTGTTGAAGTAGTCACCTGGACCTTTGCGCAGCGTACGACCGAATTCCTTTGAATGAAGTGTCCAGAAAGCTGACAGTGACCCGCACGCACAACGGATTACTCGGCTGCAACCGTCTACCATTCGACATGGCGTCGGCTTCCTCGATTTTTCAAAGGAGAATGGAAACTCTGCTCCAAGACATCCCGGAGGATTATTTGTATTTTGATGATGTGCTGGTGGCAGAGAAGAAAGGAGACAGCGGCGAAAAGCTTCGCCAAGTCCTGCAGGTGCTTCGAGATAACGGGCTCAGGTAAATACAGCAAAAGTGTTTCTTTCGGAACACAGAAGTCGCCAACCTTGGAGACAGGATAGACAGTAAAGGGCTACACGCAACTGGCAAGAATTTGAAGGCTCTCCAGAAGGCTCGAGCACCAACGGTATACGTCAGCGAGCTTCGTTCTTTCCTGGGTCTCATAACCTACTACAATCGGTTTATGACTAACATGGCATCATTCTTGTAACCCTTGTTCAAGAAGGCCCTCAAGTTAGTACTGGGGGTGTCAGAGCGTACTCCTACCGAGTGGCTCATGGAGCTAAGTGTACTTTGAAGGAACTGAGACGCACGGACTGCGGCACAATTCAAGCGGCTGGACGGGATGGCCATCGGCAGGCGGGTCCTGGGGAAGCTGAACCTGGAGGCTAAGGCCGGAGGAAGGCTGGAGGCCGGGGGGAGGCGAAGACAGGAGAAGAGAAAGATCAGAGGCCCTGGCGCACATGTGGAATCGCGGGAGCAATGCCAAGTACGTGTCCGCGGCCATGGGACAGGATGAAACCGCCACGGTGGCCCTGGTGTCATCGGACGGCGAGAAGATGATCAGCGTAGCGTTGGTAAAGAAGATCAAGTCGGAGGCCCGCGCGGATGTGGTGGCCATCGCTT